AATCAACGTGAATTCTCTCCCAAGGCTTAAAGGCTGGCATCCAGGGTTGAATGATTTTGTTTGGAAGTTTCGCTGCTGATGCACAATTGCTACGTGGCAACACTATCATGGATAACGTTGTTAATAAAGACCAGTATAAGTAACTTCTGACTACAGCTTTCCTCCGTGCTATTCCTGGGTGATGTGAGTGCAAATATGTTAATGCCCTTGCCTGCAGGGACTTCGGAACAACCACGTGTTCGCCGAGCATAACACAGTCATCAACCAGTGTTAATGAGTCACATCAACCATAGAATTGTCTAAGGTATCTGTCAGTAATCCGGTGTGGCCACTTTGTGTTTAACAAACGTATAATGTTTTGCAAAAGGGTGTCGAGTTTGGTGTGCTCCTGAATCGGGAGAGATTTGATTGAATTATACAGGAGCTGTTTCACATCTGATTCAAGCGCAGCTGACGTGATCACCTGGTTTCTATGCTCAGCTGTTTTGCGCTTAGTCGAGACAAAGCATGGGCGTAGCTGAAATCTGCCGTAGGCACATGAGCTATTGTAAAATTATATCCGAGTAACAGTGTCGTCCGACGTCGGAGGCAATTCACTGCGTACGCAGGTGAACCCTTCTTTGAACCGAAAATGGCTTATAATGGTTTATGGTCAGTCTCCAATACGAATTCTCTACTCTGCAACATCCGATGAAAGTATTTGACAGCAAAAATTAAAGCTTGTGCCTCTTTCTCGATCTGCGAATAGTTTCTTAGACTAAGTTAGGGCACGTGATGCGTAGGTAATAGATCTCAAGGTGCTAGAGTCGAAACGCTGAAGGAGAACTGCTCCAACACCATAACTAGAAGCATCTGCGGAGACATTAATATCTGCTTTTGGGTCATAATGTGTCAGTATTGAGTCAGATACAAGAGCTTTCTTATTAAGTCTAAATGTTGCCTCACATTTGGGTACGAAACCCAAGGCCGATTTTTACCCAGCAACTCATTCATTGGCCGACGAAGTCGATGCATATCAGGAATAAATGCACTATAATAAATAACCATGCACAGGAACGATTGCAGGGTAGGTACATCATGTGATGCTGGTAATTCCTCGATGACGCGCATTTTTTCAATATTAGTTCTTCGCCAGTCACGGTCGAAATGAAACCAAGGTATTTCAGTTTAGGCATAAACGAATGACATCTGCTCTCAGAGTCAGACCATATTCCCGTAGGCGTCGAATACCTGCAAGAGGTGGCAGATATGATAGGTTCTGTCTGTTGATGCGATGATAATATCATCCAAGGATGCACAAGCCGATGGTATGTACGCTAGTATAGTATCCATCAGTTGTTGAAAGACTCCCGGAGCAGCGTTCACTCCGGATGGTAGCCGATTGTACTGATACAGACCATGGTAAGTGTTAATTGTAAGAAGGCGCCGTGCATCATCATCGACTACCACTTGAACATAGGCATCCGAGAGATCAATCTTTAAGAAAATGCGAAAAGATCCGGTAGTGGCAGTCGGTATTGATGGAGATCCAGTGCTGCGTTCATTCCGGTTGAATAATCCCCACATAGGTGAATGGTGCCGTTTGCCTTTTTCACTATCACTATGGACGCTGTTCAGTCCGAGTATTCCACTTTAGAAATCACCCCTGATTGCTCCAAGTGATCCAATTCATTATGAACTACTTAAGAGACGCATACGGCACCGGCCTTTTGGATCGAAAAACAAGCTTTGCGTCATCTTTTAGATACAGAGATGCCGTGAATTTGGCACAACAGCTAAGTGTGGGGTTGAACCCTCCTGGGAATTGCTTCTTCGTATCGCCAGCGACTGTAGAATTCTGCGCTGCGTAGCACTGTGATGGTGTCCCGACCGGATAAACTTTCCTCGGTTTGATCGCACTCAGAGTCAAGCGGAACGCTCCACAGATTCAACGCAGTTATCCAATCAATACCAAGTATGTTTACTTCCGGGTTGTCAGAAACGTGAAAAACGCTGGTTCGCTTATCGTTTCTGTAAACATATTCCCAGGAAAATTTATCATATAGCTATAAGATACTGTTCTATACACGCCTTGCGGTATTTTCCGCATTGCACAATATCGGTCTGCTGATTGCCGACTATGTCGAGTTAGAGATGATGGTAATGTCAGATGTTGTATCCAGCTGTAGACGCACTGAGTGACCAGTAATAATGACAGTGATAAACTGACTGAGTGGAAGAAATCCTTCCTGTGCAGTTACACAAACCACATTAGACTCCCATTTGATTCCGCGTTGTTGTAACGGTTTTAATTGGTTCCCACAATGAGAACGTGGTGTGGTTGATCGGCAATGCGTTTCTTTATGGCCTTTCTTGTGGCAGACGGTGCACTGGTGATTGATGAGCGGACAGTTTCCAGAAAAGTGCCACTCACCACAATTCTAAAAAACACGTGGTGGTTTCTGTCGGTGTTCGGGTAGAAATTGTATCAACCATCGCGATCTCTGACATCAGTTGTCTTCACTGTCAACTATCGACCTATCTGTTTAACGTCAATATTGTGCAAGGTAATGGAGAGGATTCTCAAGCGGGCACTTCTTTTCCACCTCGAGAACCTTAACGTCATCTCTTGTGCGCAGCATGGTTTTCGGCGGGCGCGCTCCTGTTCTTCGAATCTGCTTGTGGCCCGTGAAAGATGGGCGAAATCATTAGACGCTGGGAAACGTCTGGATGTTATTTTTGTCGACTTCAGCAAGGCCTTTGATAAGGTTCCTCATGAAAGACTCCTTTATAAACTACGATTAATCGGTGTTTCTGGGAACGTTCTCTCTTGGATCGCTGATCTCTTGGATAACCGGACAATGCGAGTCGATGTGAACGAGACTTACTCCGCTCCCGTGCTCATGACTAGCGGTGTCCCACAGGGATCAGTCCTGGGCCCAGAACTTTTCAAGATCTTCATCAATGACCTTCCGGCGGAACTTCAGTTGGATTGCTTGATTTACGCTGATGACTTGAAATTGTGGATGGAGGTATCCTGTCTTGACGAGGCGGACCGATTACAGGCTACACTTGACACGTTACATGAGTGGTCAGTCAAATGGCGATTGCCCATAAATCGCGATAAGTGCTCGGTCCTTCCCATTGGTGCTTCTGAGCCTTTCGGGACGTATCACATCGGTGGGACGTTGCTCAGAACCTCAATCCTAGAAAAAGACCTCGGCGTGTTGTTGTCATCTGATCTAAGGACTACACAGGACACGTTACGAAGGGTTGCTGCTGCCAACAGGATGTCCCACGCTATACGACGAGCCTTCTCGCGTTTGACTCCGGATATCTTCCGACTATTGTTTACTTCACATGTCCGCCCCATTCTCGAATACGGATTACCTGCCCTCTTCCCTCTCACCAAGTTCGAATGTGACCTAATTGAGAAGGTGCAACGGCGTGCTTCGAAATACATCTTGGAGTTACGGGACTTGCCTTATCCCCGAAGACTTCAGCAGATGAATCTGTTCACCCTGGATTATCGCCGACGTCGCGGTGACCTGATTTTCACCAGGCGCATCCTGAGAGGAGAGATGGGGACGGAGCTGCAGGCGTGCTTTCAATCCAATCCAAACAGTTCAACTTGAGGCCACAACTGGAAACTGTTTAAACCCAGAAGACTTCGGATTCATCCTGCTCTCGCTCTATCAACTCGCGTAGTCAACGATTGGAATAACTTGCCGAAATATGTGGTCGAGGCCCAGACGGAGGAATGTTTCAAGCGAATGTTAGACTCTTATCTTTTGAGTACGATGGGTCCTTGCAGTTTCCAGTGTAGCTGTCAAGGTCCCTTGTGGATTACCGCATAACATCGAATCGCGGCCTCCACACAATGATCGGGAAGCGATGGAGCTGACAAAGGATTTCTCCTTCTGCTCTCTACAATCCTATGAACCTATGAACATTTGTGAGTCACTTATTAAGTTGGCCAGAGGCTGACCCTCTGCAGTGACGCCCTGAATGGTGATATCTGGAGATGAGTCCAGTTTGGATGACACTTGTTCTGATTTCTGCATCAGCTGCAGTGGTCAAGCCAGCCACCGAAATGAATGACTGGTACTGATCATCCGTAAGTAGTTTGAACTTGAAACGTTCACATGGATGGTTCACTCTACCCGCGTATGAAACATAAGCTTTGGATTGATTCTCAACCAGCTTCAAACACTGATAACGGATGTCTTCATACCGCCTGTACCAGGTTGCGAATCTGATGCCGTTCTCTGCGTCATATGGGAAATCTTGCATTCTGTTTGCCAACGCTCCAGATGGAGTGGACTCAGTTTTCACTGTGGTGGGTTTTAGGTTTAGGGATGACAGTTTCTCAATGAGTGCATATTCAAGCATAGCTCGCTGTTGCTGCTGGATGTAATCATGCTGCTGTTGTAGTAATTGGGTTAACTGTAAATGATCATCCATCTCCATCGTCAGTGTTCTGATCGCACTTAACTGGGGTCTAGAGCCGTCAGAAGAAAGATTTTCACAGCACCGGACAGTGTATTGACCAGATCTCAAGTCACATGAAACAGGCAAGACAGCCGACAATATAGGTTAAGGTGAGAGTGTGTGTCAAACAGGCGGCGGCCTGATGTATATGAACAACAGTAGGCCAATGGGTGAAAGTGAAGTTCACGGTCAGGTGTGTGGGACGATATTGTACTTTTAAGGCACCGGTTCATCTGGCGTAAAACCAACCATATTTTCTATGTCACTCTCCATTATGTTCTCAACGTATTCTTCCGCCTTTTAATTATTCTTCCCCTGAGATTCAAACCGTATCAGGTCATAGTTAGTTAACTGAAATGAACGACACATTTTCCCTGATGGTTATATTGTGGCCGCGCAGTGCTCCTGTTTGGCTAGGATCGTTTAGCACCCGGTGCACTTTAACCGCCCTTGTCAAGTTTCTTTTCTTCAGTGGTTTCGCCGTGGTATGCGACAACAAATTAGACTCATCCGTAGTTTTGACAACCCCCATGAACTGCAAGTCAGACTTGCACATCGAGGGGAATTTCCCTGCCCCCATTCCACCCCCACCTTTTACTCCTAATGGTGATTTCACCCTTTCGTCCTTTCGGGCGAAATCATATTTACAACATATTCCAGCATCACAATATGGCTATTTTCTACTGTCCCTGTTGGACGACGCTGCGGCGCTCCAATTTATGTTCACTGGAGTATCTGTCAACGAGGCCCTGGACGTTCTATGGTCTATTTTGGATGAGCTGTTCAATATACAAGAACTGAGTGTCATAATCAGAGAACGCTTCCGGAAGCGAAAACAGCAACCTTCTGAGTCTGTTGATGAGCTCCTGAGATCGTTGCGTGTGTTGTTGGCAAGGGCCTTTCCCGATTACTATATCGATACTCGCAATCGTGAACTCTTGGATCAGTTTGTCCTCGGAATTAGAGAACGCTCATTACTTCAGGAGTTTATTCTTGACCCACCTTTTTTTGTTTCATGATGCGATTAGAAGGGCACGTGGATACAAGTCAGTGAGCCGTCTCGAGTTTCAAGTGAACACCATTTCGTTGTCGGATATCACGGCCCACCACAATTCAAGGAAACCGTCGCGGCGTTAATCCTTTGCCTTAAACGTTCGACTTAACTGCTACTACTGCCGACGATTTGGGCGCAGAGCGTGGCGGTGTGGACACAATCCGCCAATGCAGCCACACGGTGGGTTTGATTAAAGATATTTACTACTTCTTTGTCAACTGATTACAAATAGTACTAATTACTGCTGTTAGGTTACTGCGCTTCATCTTTTCATTTGTTCAGCATTCAGTGGATTGTTCGGCTTTCTTTTATGTAGTCTTCTAAGTCATTCACTGACGTCAATTAAAGCCCTTGTAATCCCGTGCTTCTAGATTTTTTCTAGTGTATTTTTATTCGCTTCTTTCTCCTCTCTCTTTCATCACGTTAGCTCTTATTCTCATACCAATAGAATGTTGCCACAAATTTCCAACTTTATCAGGCCAGGCTGGTTTCTCTTCTGAGTCTTTATGCACGTATTCGGTGATCTTATATGAAGCAGGATACGTACACTGACCACGATTTCCTTCCTCTTTTAACCAATAAGATATGGTATTTCCACAAATACAGTGTCGGGTGTGCACTGTCTCATCAGGCGATAAAGATTCGGTCGTCAAGAACGCGTTGCCTACTACTTGCGCTAGTCATCCAGTTCAGGAGGACATTTCGACAGATTGATGACAGGACTTCGTCGTTCTTGCTTCTGACCATTTGCACAGTGAATACGATTGCTTAGATGCACTGATTTCTTATCCTAGGTTCTTCATCCGTACACTAGTTTGTCGAGGATCATTCGAAAGACCCTGACTATGCGGTGCTTACTTTGTACATATTATCTGGCCTCTGAGTTTTCTGCACTACGTCCTGACAACGCACTTATCGCTGATGCTGCCTTCGACTGGCTCACTTACTTGATTCACCAGATCTGTCCATCACACTCAGACGGAGCTACGTTAACCTCCTTAGGATTGACGATGAGATCACAAACCGGATAACAATGCTAGAGGCGGTTTTGCTGATCTCCGTCACTTGTGGCACCGGCGTGACATCACTCTCGCCCTGAAGGGCAGAGCTTGCAGTACCGCTGTCCGTTTAACCCTTGTGCACGGTTCCGAAACCTGGTCTATAAAGTCGACAGACATAGAGAGGCTAACCACCTTTGATCATCGCTGCCTTCGCAGCTTAGCTCATGTCTGGTTGGAACGCCGCGTGAGCAATGCGCGTGTTCAGCGACGCGTATTTGTTGCAGGAAGAGCGAGTGAACTGCTCAGCACTGTTATATCGCGCACCAAGCTCCGATAGCTGGGCCACGTGCTGCGCATGCCAACCCATCGACACCCGCGTCATGTTAGCGCGACCTGGACGAAGAGGAGGGGAAGCGATGTGATGACTTGGTCAAGAGGAATGAAAACCTTCACTTCGAATTTGGCGTCGGTTGGTGCCTCCCAACTGTCGCGTTAGTACCCGAAGGTCGATGAAGACGTTTGGTTAGATACACTTATTGACATGGCGAAGAGCCGGCCTCAATAGCATTTGCGCTTCGTGTTTGTTTCTCCCTCTTCTCCTCTTCCAACCACGATCTCATACACTATGCATAGAGTATGATGTTTGGCTTTATATTATTTAGTTTTTGTAGTCTGCAATGTTTTATATCATCCATTTTGTATTGCGGCACATTAGCTCAAGTGTGTTTCTCACTCTCAGTTAACGTGTGCTGGTGATCATGATGATGATGACGATGATGATGATGGTGGCTCTCATCGGAGCATGTCAGTTCCATCGGCCACTTAGCGGCTCGAAGCACAGTGAGTAGAAACCTAGGTAGAGCATTGAGTGATTAGATATTCACTGCCAAACTTCTTGCGTGGCACCTTAGGTTCGCCAACTGATTACTATGCTATGTGACACTGTAAGTCACTCTACCTTCGCAATCGTTTGCTACTGGATTCCCAGCCCTTCGTTGCTGCGGTCACTAACTGAATCAAACTTCCCTTCCTCATCTTCATCTGTCATTCTCCGACGCCGCATGCTACTATTGAGTAGTATGTACTTTATACGAAGTCAGTAGAAATGGCTTAGGGCGTTGGTAGTTACGTCGTCCCCTTGGATGTTACGCGCCCGCGGGTAGCGGGTGCGTTTAAATATTATGGAAAGTAATGAAACTAGAACACCAGAATGTCAGAAAAAAGGAGTGATAATCTGCTAATTTAGGTAATTGACCTTGCACTCTGGTAACTGTCCGTAACTGAACGACGTAGGCAGCCGGTCGCCATGCTTGCGAGGAATGTTACTACGACAACGGGCGTGATCCTAGTATTACAGTCTGATACAGTGCCGACGGGTCTGTTAACACACACCTACTGACAGACCCCGTTATTGCTGTACTGATGCATGCATGTGCTTCTGCCTACCAGCAGTTGCATGTGGAGCAAAAACAGGCGGTGTCTTCCGCATGCGCCAAGTTTTCTGTCGATTATGCGACATAATCTCTATTTCAGAAGAACGAGAGGAGAAGGCAGAACAGATTCGTAAGTGATCATTACGAGTACACTATTGAAAATAAACAGGGCTACCAGATGTCTGCACTCCTGTTCAATGAACGTAATTTCCAGCATTTCGTCAGTGGCAAAGTTAAAAAGAAGAGATGACAGCGAGCGTCCTTGTCTTACATCGGTGGAGATAATGGAGAGACCGCAACATGGAGGACTTGGAGACTGAGTTTGTCTGGTCTCTAACCCATTGGTCAATCTGGTATGCGTGACTATGAAGCTGCATAAAGCACCACCCGCCACATCCAAGTGGACCGTTAAGGCATGCCAACCATCGCACAACGGTAGTGTCCTTTTTGGTAATCGATGATACTGCTTTGGTTGCTGCCTTCCGACTCCCTGGTTGGTTTCCGGAAGACTACGTACAAGTTTGGTTGGAGACACTTATTGACATGACTGGGAACTGATCTTATTAGCTTTCGCGTTGCGAGTTTCTTTGCATACTTTCCTACGTCTTTCTTGTACCCTTCAAACGCGCTCTCATTCAATGAATAATATAAAATGATGCATCATTTTATTATTGCCCTTCATTTGTGTCTTGTAACGTTTGAAATTTATTATTATTATTATTATTATTATTATTATTATTATTATTATTATTATGTGCTTTGTCTGTTTTATCTGCTTTGTCACACCACCATGCCGGGCGTATTTCTCATCCTAAGCTAACTAGATAAATGAATGATGATGATGTCTGTAGCGAATCCCATTTGAACTGACGAATGACAGCACAGGTTCCGGTGCGCGCAATCTGGAGTGGCAGCGTGAAGATTCTCTGAAATAGCATACAGGCTGATGCGCCCAATTGAATCAAAGTTTGCTCAATATCACCTATGCATTTACCCCTGCCTAGAAACAAGGCTAGCGCAATACTTCTCAGCCATTTTGTTTTCCACTGACTGAACTGTCACTGACGCTATTCAACCTTTGGAGCGTGTTGCATGTTAGTTATTTGGAAGTGACGGCTTTACAATTGATGATGCCTTCAGGTTTGTTTGATGTTGCCATTAAGGTTTCTAAACAACGTAGAAAATTTGGATCTGGAATTTCTTCTACGTAACGGTACAAGTTTGTAGTGCCGGATATAAAGCGAGTTCCTCACCCCCTGTACTTCGAACGGAGTGTGGTAGATGTTTGCAACAGTCTACCAGAACAAGGCATGGAGTCCAAATCTTTGTATCAGTTCAAACGTTGTTGCATTCATACTTTACCGTCATCTGCTTCAGAGATAAATTGCACCTTGTCAATAACCTCTTACATTTGTGAGCCCAATGGTACTGTAAGTCAGGCATTTTTAACCACTACGTGGAAAATCGGAGAACTCTTGAAGTATCAACAGGTGGTTAATACTTCTTATGATATTTCTGATTACATTCAGATGGAGTTATAGATTTAATTTATCTACTTGCTCCCACGAAGCATTATTCAGTATTCAGCATGACTGACAGCCTATGAATCTTATCCCGAGAACTTGCATCTTGTTCTGAATCGCGTGACAAATATTGCATCTAAGCAGTGCATGTTCTTTGGCCGTTGGAAGCCCATAGCGGCCGTTTTTGATAAACAATCGCCCGTTTTGTGCCCACCTTCGAAGTACCCTTCGTTATGTGCCTATAGAGCTGCGTTTGCGCTGATAGTGCTGTTGTAATCTTAGTGCTTCCTTGTATCATCAATACTCTGTCAGTGTTTTCCAAATTGAAGCGTTTGTGGAAGCGTTGTGCAATCTCTCTCCTTCGTTGAGGGGCAATGCTTGAAACCTTGTCTACGCGTTGTTACTGTATGGAATGGAGTCCTTTCCAATTTGCGCGTTGGGCATACACGGGCTTTTAACCATTGATGATGAGCGTTTGTGGTGAATCACTCGTGTGTGATAGCAGCACCGGATTCGCAATGATGGAGTCAAGCACACTGCCTAGCGACATACCGGCAGCTACCTCTGCGTCCTACCCTACGCATACTATGCGGTCTTTCCTCGTATTGCTGTCCATTTGATGGCGTATATTTGCACTACAAATCGTGTAGTGAATACCGAATAATGTAGTACGGGAGATCGTAGAAGTCTGAATCTGTACAACCCATCGAGATATGACCCAAACTGTTAAAAATCCATGACCTCTCAACACACTGATCGTATTTCAAGTTTCCACATGATATCTTAAAGATAACGCATAACTCGTAGTAAATTGGAACTCAGAATGTGACATGTTATCGTTAGTGGGTAATCATCCTTCGAATCCATTTGAAAAATGCACATCCAACAATGTTTTGAACTGCAACACCTAGTTTTCTTCCACGAAATGCTCCGGCTAGCTGTTCCAAACGTTGATCACTCGACTTTCAAAGCACAGGGGATGGGGAACCCGCTTCAGATCTGGGACCA